AGCTCTTTCAAATAAGGCTCTTGCTGTTGTAGAAGCATTGGAAGGAAAGGTAAGCATTTTTATTTCTGAAACATTATGGTTAAGGCTATTTGTATAAGGTTCACTCAATCACTCATCAGTTCACAATTGCAGCTGGTTGGCTGGAAATATCTTGTTATAACTTGAAACTTATTTTTCTGTTTGATTTTTGAATGCTGCAACTAATATTTGAATATTCAATACAATAGAGGGTGGAAACATTCATGTCTTCATTCAGAGCTGTGACAGAAGAGAGGTAATAACTTGTCTTTTTTGTTAGTAGTACTTATAGCGTTGCTTTTACCAAAGCTTCTCTCTTGACGTTAAACCTCATGTGATTAATTTTTCCAGCGGGCTGCCTTTGAAAAAGCTAGACAAGAAACTAGAAAGGACACTTCTACATTCATATCGTAAGGTATGTACTGAAACTATAAGTTTGGTAAAACTTTAGAATGACAAGAAGAAATACTCCTGAATTAGTTTGTTTACAACTATTATAAGACAGACCACAATTCCACTTAAATAATGATGGAGCTCAGCTCCTTCCACCAATAAAATAGACACAATACCCTACCACAACAATGCAAATGAACAACTGGCTTGATACCACATGCACTGACAACCCTTTCCCTAGCCAATGACTTATCTATTTTCCTCTAATCTTGCTGCCCCCCTATGCCCTCTTATTGGGCCTTATATACTGTTAGACCATTTTTCTGTTTACATCCTCTCCTATATACATGTATGTCAGTGTTAATTACAACGATTCAAGATATTCAGTTTTCTATCCTACAATAGTTCCTAAGATTGCTCCTAATTGATTCTACGACACAGGTGAAACAGTAGCTTAATTATCTAAGATATTCTTACACTTTCCGTGGAGCTGGAAATCACTTATTATAGCTTGTCATGTATATAGCTGGTCTGGTGACCTCTAAAGGCCTCAGTGTATGCAAGTTGACAAATATAATGTGGATATTGTTACGATCTCTTGCATTTGAATTTTCTCTGGTGCAACATGGCAATTAATCTCAATATGTTTCAGGAAAAATAGGATTTCAAGATATATGTAGTGCAACATGGTTGCCACACTAGTTTCATTGGTTGCAATTCATAGTTGTTTAAATTGTTAGAGCAGCAGTTCATAGGCTTCAGTACCCATCATTTGATACTCAACTTTTGCACTTGATTTGAAAACTGTTTGCTTCTTTTCCATGATATTATATTTCCTCCAAAGTAAACAGTGTCATGGCCAAAATAGAGCTTTTAAATAAGATAAATTTGCTTCCCAACTGGCATCTATATAAGCACAAATTTACACATGCTTGCTATCTTTGTTTAGTTAACATTTTTGTAAATGCTCTTCGAACGTATCTATGTCTTTGAACAACAATATCACGGTTAGAGTCACACGTAGAATCAAGGAATTTACTTACTGCACTCACGAGCATTACTAAGGAGATATTTAATCTCGTTATCATGATAGATAGTTAGGTAGATAGATAGATAGATGGATGGATAGGTAGATGTAACAAACCCCAGCTAGTGCGTAAAAGCTTTTGTTTTGGTGGTTGTTATAATGGGACATTTCAACTTTCAAAGTAACCTCCAAGAATGTCCTATATTTAGTTCTTGTCGGTTTCACCAAGATGATTATTTCAGACCATACAATGTTTTCTACTGCTTGCACCCCAACCCAAATCCCACCTAGCAATAAATCCAGGTAGTTAATCCATGTAAACTTGTAAATTACCATTGGAGAGGACTTTCTTTATGTCCCGATTGTATTGAGGCCAATGTTTAATGACAGCCATGGCTAGGAAGAGCCAAACAGCGGGCTCAAGAAAATATATTATTCAAGCAAAAGATTTTAGTGTAATATTTGGTCCCTAAACGAGGCTTTAATAAGTGAATAGAGTCACATGGACCAACTTCAATTGTAAATACCCATAGGCAACAATGAGATATTTTCCCAATGGCTTAAGGACTATATTTCACGTGACTTTGGTTTGCAAGGCCCCATTATTAAACATTTATTTGATATTCTTTTCAATTTCAGTATGCTATATCTGATATTCAAGATTGTTTAAATTGTAATTCCTAATATTAGCAGACCCGTCCATTTTACATAGAATTTTTGTTTTTTTTTGCCATGATATTCTGCAATTTGGATGATCTTAAACCGTGTCTTCTATCACTGTTATCATCAGGAATTGACATCTCAAGTTTCGGCTGAGACTGACCCTGTATCACTTCTGCCGAAAGTCGTGTCTTTACTCTATGTCCAGGTAACTTGATGCTACTTCCCCCTCACCTCAACAAAAAAAAAAAACTCTTATTCCCATCATTAACATGTATTTGTATTAACAGGTTTACCATAAAGCTCTACAAGCCCCTGGAAGGGCCATTTCTGTTGCTATTTCTCAATTGACGGTATGTTCTTTCCATATGCTTAATTATGCATCAAGACAACTGAAATAATAGTAATTGCCGAAATCAAAACAAGTATTTGTATATCAACTGACAGTAAGTACTGAAAAACATTGTTGAACCCTGAGATAAACAGTGATGCCTCATTGCCCTTGTATTTAAAATATGATTTGGTGGTGATATTTAACAAAGATATGGACATTATATGTGGTTTCTTACTTGTTTTGCTGTTCAATATCTCAGATAGATCATAAAAACTTTATCAGAGCATAATCTATTCCATGTTACACTTGAATGGCTGTTTAATGCAAAAGTGTTAGTCATGATTCTTGTATGTTGCATTTAACCATATCTAGGGTTTTTTTACATTCTCAAATATAGTTCACAGGCACTTAACCATATCTAGGGTTTTTTTGCATTTAACCGTATCTTATAGTGGTAAAAACTATTAGCTTTCTTGCACTTATTTTGTTGAGAGATAATTGTAACACCTATACACTTATCAGAGCATAATACTTCACAGGCAATAGATTTTAGGCTCATTTTTGCACTAGTTTTGACAATAATCTGACAGCAGGCAATCAAGGAAAATAGTTCTCATGGATTCTGCATGAATAATGATTACTTTTTAGGACTGAAAAGCTTCCAAAAGTATATATATTTAACGTATTTTTTATCAAAAGCTGAATGAATATCTTAGGCAACTAAAGTAGCAAATAGTGTGTGTTTGTTAAGTACTAGTCAACCAAGGAAAAATAGTTCTCATGGATTCTGCAAGAACAATGAACACTCTTTAGGACTGGAAAGCTTGCAGTAATATATGTTTAACTTATGTTTTATCAAAATCTGAATGAATAATATCTTAGAGAACCTAAAGTAGTTAATGGGGGGTTTGTAAGGTACTAGTAAAACAATTCAAATATCCATAAAATATTGTAAAACGTCTTCTATAACTTTTCCCTAATTTTGGTTCACATGTTTTATTTGTTAGGATAAGCTTGACGAGACAGCTTGCAAGATTATAGCTGATTATCAAGCTGCTGCCGTTACTCTTTTGACACTATCAGCTACTCCTGATGACGTGAGTAGTTTCTTTTCATGCACTGTTCATTTATACACGTTATTATGGTTGATCTCACATAATTTTGATCATTCTTCTCTAAGATATCAAAGTAATCAAACTTTTGTTCTAAACCGTCTTCTATTAAGTTTTAAACGTGAGTAAGACTTGGAATTGAAGTTTCTCGAGCAAGTTTTTCCAATGTCTTTGTTGAATAATTAGAAAATAAATCCGAATTTCACAAGAACATGTTGCATTAACTATTTTAAAATGGGTATGTGATATTTCTGGGAGTGGTTGATATATTTGTAAATGTGTATAAGATTATTTTGAATGCCCGCCCAATTCAATGTTTAGATTGTAAACTATTTTTTTTTTCTTTTCTATTTTGTGCAGGAAGACAGTTGTGCATCGAATAGAATTAAAGAGATTCTGGAGAGCCAAATGCCTGCTCTCAAAGTTTGGTTTCGGGTGCCTGACGGTCATAAATATTTTTCAAGTCAAATCTATCCCCTGAATGAAACTGTACTGTACTTTGTTAGGATGGACGAATTTTATGTTAGTTTAGACTATACAACTTGTATACACTATACAGTGCACTGCAAAAAAAAAAAAAGTTTTTCTGAATTTTCGCTCCATGAAATTTGTCTTTTAAGCAAAATTGCCAAATTAACGATAAATATTAGGACTATTTTGGAACTTATATTTTTCTACGGATGGTTGGATTTTTAAAAATGATAATAATAATGGTAGAGTAGAGTAGAGTAGAGTAGAGTAGAGTAGAGTAGAGTAGAGTAGAGTAGAGTAGAGTAGAGTAGAGTAGAGTAGAGTAGAGTAGAGTAGAGTAGAGTAGAGTAGAGTAGAGTAGAGTAGAGTAGGGTAGGGTAGGGTAGGGTAGGGTAGGGTAGGGTAGGGTAGGGTAGGGTAGGGTAGGGTAGGGGTAGGGTAGGGTAGGGTAGGGTAGGGTAGGGTAGGGTAGGGTAGGGTAGGGTAGGGTAGGGTAGGGTTAGGGTTAGGGTTAGGGTTAGGGGTAGGGGTAGGAGTAGGAGTAGACGTAGGGGGAGTAGGGGTAGGGGTAGGAGTAGGAGTAGGAGTAGGAGTAGGAGTAGGGGTAGGGGTAGGGGTAGGGGTAGGGGTAGGAGTAGGAGTAGACGTGGGGGGGTAGGAGTAGGAGGCATGGGTAGGGGTAGGAGGCGTGGATAGGAGTAGGAGGTGTGGGTAGGAGTAGGAGTAGGGGTAGGGGTAGGGGTAGGAGTGGGAGTAGACGTAGGAGGAGTGGGAGTAGGGGTAGGAGTAGACGTAGGGGGGGGGGGTAGGAGTAGGGGTAGGAGTAGACGTATGGGGGGGGAGTAAGAGTAGGAGGGGGGTAGGTGTAGGAGGCGGTGGATAGGGGTAGGGGTAGGAGTAGGAGTAGGAGTAGGAGTAGGAGTAGGAGTAGGAGGAGTAGGAGTAGGAGTAGGAGTAGGAGTAGGAGTAGGAGTAGGAGTAGGAGTAGGAGTAGGGGGAGTAGGAGTAGGAGTAGGGGGAGTAGGAGTAGGAGTAGGGGTAGGGGTAGGGGTAGGGGTAGGGGTAGGAGTAGACGTAGGGGGAGTGGGAGTAGACGTAGGGGGAGTAGGAGTAGGAGTAGGGGTAGGAGTAGACGTAAGGGGGGGTAGGGGTAGGCGTAGGCGTATGAGTAAGAGTAGGGGTAGGGGTAGGCGTAGGCGTAGGAGTAAGAGTAGGGGTAGGCGTAGGGGTAGGCGTAGGAGTAGGAGTAGGGGTAAGGGTAAGGGTAGGCGTAGGAGTAGACGTAGGGGGAGTAGGAGTAGGAGTAGGAGTAGACGTAAGGGGAGTAGGAGTAGGAGTATGAGGGGGGTAGGGGTAGGAGGCGTGGGGGGGGGGGGGGGGGGTAGGGGTAGGGGTAGGAGGGCGTGGGGGGGGGGGGGGGGGGTAGGCGTAGGGGTAGGGGGTAGACGTAGGGGGAGTAGGAGTAGGAGTAGACGTAGGGGGAGTAGGAGTAGGAGTAGGAGTAGGGGTAGGAATAGACGTAGGGGGAGTAAGAGTAGGGGTAGGAGTAGACATGTGGGGGGGGGGGGGGGGGGGGGGGTAGGAGTAAGAGGGGGGTAGGGGTAGGAGGCGTGGATAGGGGTAGGAGTAGGAGTAGAGATAGGAGTAGGGGTAAGAGTAGACGTAGGGGGGGGGGGGGTAGGAGTAGGGGTAGAGTAGACGTAGAGGGGGGGGGGGGGGTAGGAGTAGGGGTAGGAGTAGACGTAGGGGGGGGGGGGTAGGAGTAGGGGTGGGAGTAGACGTAGGGGGGTAGGCGTAGGGGTAGGGTTAGGGTTAGGGTTAGGGGTAGGGGAGGGTAGGAGTAGGAGTAGGAGTAGGAGTAGGAGGCGTGGATAGGGGTAGGAGTAGGAGTAGAGATAGGAGTAGGGGTAAGAGTAGACGTAGGGGGGGGGGTAGGAGTAGGGGTAGGAGTAGACGTAGGGGGGGGGGGGGGGTAGGAGTAGGGGTGGGAGTAGACGTAGGGGGGTAGGCGTAGGCGTAGGAGTAGGCGTAGGCGTAGGGTAGGGTTAGGGTTAGGGTTAGGGGTAGGGGTAGGAGTAGGAGTAGGAGTAGGAGGCGTGGATAGGGGTAGGAGTAGGAGTAGAGATAGGAGTAGGGGTAAGAGTAGACGTAGGGGGGGGGGGGTAGGAGTAGGGGTAGGAGTAGACGTAGGGGGGGGGGGGGGGGGGTAGGAGTAGGGGTGGGGAGTAGACGTAGGGGGGTAGGCGTAGGCGTAGGGTAGGGTTAGGGTTAGGGTTAGGGGTAGGGTAGGAGTAGGAGTAGGAGTAGGAGGCGTGGATAGGGGTAGGAGTAGGGAGTAGAGATAGGAGTAGGGGTAAGAGTAGACGTAGGGGGGGGGGGGGGGGGGTAGGAGTAGGGGTAGGAGTAGACGTAGAGGGGGGGGGGGGGGGTAGGAGTAGGGGTAGGAGTAGACGTAGGGGGGGGGGGGGGGGTAGGAGTAGGGGTGGGAGTAGACGTAGGGGGGTAGGCGTAGGCGTAGGGTAGGGTTAGGGTTAGGGTTAGGGGTAGGGGTAGGAGTAGGAGTAGGAGTAAGAGGGGGGTAGGGGTAGGAGTAGGGGTAGGAGTAGACGTAGAGGGGGGGGGGGGTAGGAGTAGGGGTAGGAGTAGACATGTGGGGGGGGGGGGGGTAGGAGTAAGAGGGGGGTAGGGGTAGGAGGCGTGGATAGGGGTAGGAGTAGGAGTAGAGATAGGAGTAGGGGTAAGAGTAGACGTAGGGGGGGGGGGGGGTAGGAGTAGGGGTAGGAGTAGACGTAGAGGGGGGGGGGGGGGTAGGAGTAGGGGTAGGAGTAGACGTAGGGGGGGGGGGGGTAGGAGTAGGGGTGGGAGTAGACGTAGGGGGGTAGGCGTAGGCGTAGGGTAGGGTTAGGGTTAGGGTTAGGGGTAGGGGTAGGAGTAGGAGTAGGAGGCGTGGATAGGGGTAGGAGTAGGAGTAGAGATAGGAGTAGGGGTAAGAGTAGACGTAGGGGGGGGGGGGTAGGAGTAGGGGTAGGAGTAGACGTAGAGGGGGGGGGGGGGGTAGGAGTAGGGGTAGGAGTAGACGTAGGGGGGGGGGGGTAGGAGTAGGGGTGGGAGTAGACGTAGGGGGGTAGGCGTAGGCGTAGGCGTAGGGTTAGGGTTAGGGGTAGGGGTAGGAGTAGGAGTAGGAGTAAGAGGGGGGTAGGGGTAGGAGGCGTGGATAGGGGTAGGAGTAGGAGTAGAGATAGGAGTAGGGGTAAGAGTAGACGTAGGGGGGGGGGGGGTAGGAGTAGGGGTAGGAGTAGACGTAGAGGGGGGGGGGGGGGGGGGGGTAGGAGTAGGGGTAGGAGTAGACGTAGGGGGGGGGGGGGGTAGGAGTAGGGGTGGGAGTAGACGTAGGGGGTAGGCGTAGGCGTAGGGTAGGGTTAGGGTTAGGGGTAGGGGTAGGAGTAGGAGTAGGAGTAGGGGTAGGGGGTAGGGGTAGGGGTGGGGGAGGGCGTAGGGGTAGGCCGGGGTGGGTAGGGCGTAGGGGTTAGGAGTAGGGGGGTAGGCGTAGGGGTAGGGGGTAGGCGTAGACGCGTAGGCGTAGGTAGGAGTAGGAGTAAGAGTAGGAGTAGGAGTAGGAGTAGGGGTGAGGGAGGGCGTAGGGGTAGGCCGGGGTGGGTAGGGCTTCGTGGGGGGTAGGTAGGGGGGGTAGGCGTAGGGGTTGGGGTGTAGGCGTAGACGTGGGGGGGTAGGTGTAGACGTGGAGGGTAGGTGTAGACGTGGAGGGTAGGGGTAGAGGTAGGGGTAGGGGTAGAGGGTAGGGGTAGGAGTAGACGCGTAAGTAGGAGTAGGGGGGGTAGGCGTAGGGGTAGGGGGTAGGCGTAGACGCGTAGGCGTAGGTAGGCGTATGGTAGGGTTAGTGGTAGGAGTAGGAGTAGGAGTAGGAGTAGGAGTAGGAGTAGGGGGAGGGGGAGGGGTAGGGGGTAGGGGGTGGGGGAGGGCGTAGGGGTAGGCCGGGGTGGGTAGGGCGTGAGGGGTAGACGTAGGAGTAGACGTAGGGGGTAGGCGTAGGCGTAGGGTAGGGTTAGGGTAGGAGTAGGAGTAGGAGTAGGAGTAGGAGTAGGGGTAGGGGGTAGGGGTAGGGGTGGGGGAGGGCGTAGGGGTAGGCCGGGGTGGGTAGGGCGTAGGGGTTAGGAGTAGGGGGGGTAGGCGTAGGGGTAGGGGGTAGGCGTAGACGCGTAGGCGTAGGGTAGGAGTAGGAGTAGAAGTAAGAGTAGGAGTAGGAGTAGGGGGAGGGGTAGGGGTTGGGGTGGGGGTGGGGGAGGGCGTATGGGTAGGCCGGGGTGGGTAGGGCGTCGTGGGGGGTAGGTAGGGGTAGGGGTGTAGGCGTAGACGTGGGGGGGTAGGTGTAGACGTGGAGGGTAGGTGTAGACGTGGAGGGGGGTAGGCGTAGACGTGGAGGGAAGGGGTAGGGGTAGGGGTAGGAGTAGACGTAGGGGGAGTAGGGTTAAGAGTAGACGTGTGGGGGGGTAGGAGTAGGAGGGGGTAGGGGTAGGAGTAGACGTGGGGGGGGGGGGGGGGGGGTAGGAGTAGGAGGGGGGTAGGGGTAGGAGTAGGAGGGGGGTAGGAGTAGACGTAGGGGGGGGGGGGGGGGGGGTAGGAGTAGGGGTGGGAGTAGACGTAGGGGGGGTAGGGGTACGCGTATGCGTAGAGTGGGGGTAGGGGTACGCGTAGGGTAGGGGTAGGGGTAGAAGTATGAGTATGAGTAGGGGAGGGGTAGGGAGTAGGCGTAGGTAGGCGTAGGAGTAGGAGTAGGGGGGGTAGGGGTACGCGTACGCGTAGAGTGGGGGTAGGGGTACGCGTAGGGTAGGGGTAGGGGTAGAAGTATGAGTATGAGTAGGGGAGGGGTAGGGAGTAGGCGTAGGTAGGCGTAGGAGTAGGCGTGGGTAGGCGTAGGCCGTGGGGGTAGGAGTATGAGTATGAGTAGGGGAGGGGTAGGCGTAGGGGGTAGGCGTAGGCGTGGGTAGGGGTAGGCCGTGGGGGTTGGGGTAGGAGTATGAGTATGAGTAGGGGAGGC